ATCCAAATGCAGGGCTTTTCCCGCCAAAACTTGCTGGCGTCACATTGTCGCAAACGCGCGCTCCCTTGCCGGAAAGCAAGGAGGCGCGCGTTCCTGGGCCGGCTGCTCTGCAGATTGGGCCGGCCAGGGCCTGGCGCCTGCATTCCCCGCAGGCTCACGCTGGCCGGGGCCGGGTTACTTTCAAATCAGGAGGAGAACCTGGCTGAAGAGGTTTAAGAACTGCCGAGTGCATCGGTGTGAATGACCTCCGGGCCCAAACGCGAAGTGGGACCCAGGTGCGACCTCGGCCGGCCGGCTGGCTGCCCGTCCTCGCGCTCCCGGGGAGAGCAGCACTGCGGGGCTAGCTACCACCGCCCCGGACCCCCCGAGCATCTCGCCCCGCTGCCTGGCAGGGTAGCGAGGATCACACTCCGTAAGTGCTGTCTCTGTAACTTTAAAGCGCGGCCCAGATAAAACTGGAGCCGAGAAGCCAGGGACAGCTGTTGAGCATTGATCCTGTTTAGAATGAAAGGAACTTTGTGATAGGAGCGAGAAGCATCAAATACTGGCTGCACTGCAATGGGGGGTGGGAAGGCATCGGGATGAAGAAAGCTACTCTTTTGTAGCTGGAGGTAATGTCAGGATAACCAGTTTTACCATGTCTCGTCCGAACAGGCACCAAAACAATACCTCCACTCAACCTTTTTGAAGGAATTACAACTGCGTAGCTTAGTTCTACCTGCTCTCTCTTTAATGTGTAAGGAACGGGCAGGTAGAAGCAACAACGCTGCATTTTACAATGCAAATTTTAAAAGCAGAATAACCAGTTTAGGTGCGAAAGTAAATTCTGAAAAAGGGACTGGCTAGAGAACAAAACAATGTGGAAAAACTGAAATAGATACTCCCTCTCAACAGTAAACTAGACTGGGAACTCAAGGCGCAGGCAAGATCATCTATTCTCCAATTCTTAAAACTGGGCCACATACAATAAGCATAACTAGCTCTTGATTGTGATACTGGTAAAATAAGTGTAAAATATGTTACACAAAAATGCATACATTTGTTTAAAAGACAAAAAACAAGACCAGAACACTTCGAAATGCTTATGTGAGAAGTTTTTAACCGTGACATCACTGTTTAGGTTTCGTATAATAAAGTAAGTTTTCCAGATCGTTTACTCCATTTTCTCTAGTTTCTGCACTGCATGCTGCAAACAAAGAATATGAAGAAAGTAAGAGGAGGACCCGACCGGCACAGTTCCTTTGTGTCTAGATAGAATAAAGGTATCTTAGCCTGAAAAAAATAAGGCATACACATCTCAGGCAGAGTATCAGTTAAAGAATAGATGCTCACAAAAACCTGTTCCCTTCTGAAACCTTACTAAAATAGTAAATATTAAGAGTAAATATTAAAATAACTTAATAATGAAATATTAAATTTACTATTTTAAAATAGTAAATGTTTAAAAGGCAATAACCCACAAACACAGAACATGACAAACAAAATTTTTGCCAAGTGGAAAGTCTTTAGATGAATGGTAATTTAGATGAAAGAAAGATGAATCCTAAAGCCAGCAATGGGAAAGCAGAAAAGCAGTTTGGTTTACATCATAGAACTCACTAAAGGCTCAAGTTGAATTAGTGACAACAGGTACTGAATGAGGTGAAGGTGGGGCTAAAAGAGGGTGAAAGACTATGTATGAAGCGAATAGACCCTTGGGTCCTCTCCCTCCTCTGTGTATACAAGGAACTGCCCCTCCCCGAAGCTGGTACTAGACTTGAGAGGGTAAATACATGGTTATCTGAACTGGATAGCATCAGGCACAGTTAAGGGTTAGGTACCTAACTGAAACCAAAAGGATTAAGTTTATGCACTGAAGGTTGAACCTGTGAGCCTTCTTTCCTCACTTTACTCCCAGAAATCTGGCAGCCTGGCTTGTATACTTCAGAGGACATAAAAGCCTTCTCAAGGGAATCTTACCTATATAGAAGAAAAGATCTAAAGATACCAATATCAGGGATCTCATAATGTAACAATGCAGCCAGATCACAGGAGAATGAAGCCCACATTCAATAAGCCCCACCCCAAACCAAACAGACCTTCCAGTCTTTTTAGGGTCCCACTCTTTAATAAGAGCTAACAAGCAAGACTTTGAAAAGGCCTTTAATATGAAAGATGTCCAAACAAAGGAATATTCAAACAAAAAGCTCTTGGATATTAAAAAAAATACATGATAGTAGAAAAAAGTAAACAAAATAGATAGGTTAGGAACAAAAAGTTCAGGAAATCTCCAGAAGGAAGAATAAAGATGGGAAACAGAGGATTAAATATAAGAATATTGGGAGACTAATCTAGGAAGTCCAAAATCCAAGTAACTTATTTTTCACAACAAGAAAGGGAGTCGGGGGAATCCACAAATGACTCAAGAAAACTTCCCAGACAAAAGAACTTGACCTTCCATACTTTTCCCATACTTTCCATACTTTACTTTTCCAAGGTTAAAGTACCCAGCTTCTGAACACATCATTGGGAAAATTTCAAAATAGTACATACAAAGAGGTCTGGGGAGGGAGTGAGAGGGAATGGACACATACAAAAAAAATAAGAATCAGAATATCATTGCATTTCTCAGCATTTAGAAGACAGAAAACAATGGGCCAATGCCTTCAAAAATAATTCTAAGGAAAAGTTAATCCCAACCTGGAACTCTATACCTAGCCAACCTATGAATCGTGTGATGACAGACACTCAAGACCTCAAGAAATTTATCTCCCACACACTTTCTTAGGAAGGTAGTGGTGATAAATCAAGAAAGAAGTCAGGGGATTAACACACAATATAACAGTGAAAGGATACACCAACCCAAGAGGTGTGTAGCAAACCTAGAGAGTAAACCAATCCAAACTGGAATATACCAGAACAGACGACATCTCTAAGAATGAATACCTAATAAGTTGAACATACTAAAAGGAAGCTGGCACAAATGAAGGTGAGTCTGGGGAGAAATCAGTGACAAGTACAAAACACAAGTGAAAAAACTCCCTTCAAAAATGTTATGCAGAAAAAAAAGTAGTAACATTATATATACCACGTGGCCTAGTTGTGAAAAGCCTTAAGGTAAAAACTACTGAGTTAACCTAAACCATAACTATAATAGAGCCTTGAGATGGTGAGAATATATGTGTCCATGGGAAGAGCAGGATGGTGAAAAAGAACCAAATCCTCAATTTCCACACTAGAAAGTCAACAGATGATACCTAAAATTGAAAAACCAACACATAGCAAAATAAAGCAAGTCATTTAATGATATGGAGGTAAGTAATATGAGAATCAGCTGAGTTGAAAGTGGTTCCCTCGGGGGGGGGGGTGTGGAAAACAGTGTTGTTCCTTTTTAGAATTATTTGATTTTCTTTTACACTAAGTGCACTGTAACAATGGAAATTAGAAGTAAATTTTTAAAAACTATAGCTTCATGTACCCTAGAAAGTAACAAAATTAAAATCATAAGAGTAGGGCTTCCCTGGTGGCGCAGTGGTTGAGAGTCCGCCTGCCGATGCAGGGGACACGGGTTCGTGCCCCGGTCCAGGAAGATCCCACATGTTGTGGAGCAGCTGGGCCCATGGGCCATGGCCGCTGAGCCTGCGTGTCCGGAGCCTGTGCTCCGCAACGGGAGAGGCCACAACAGTGAGAGGCCCGCGTACCGCAAAAAAAAAAAAAAAATCATAAGAGTAACAAGTACAGTGATAAAGGGTTATCCCATTCCTACAGAGGTAAATCACTAATGATCTCTAACTGGTATTACTCATATTGGTTAGAAAAACAAACAAAAAACCCACCTCTGAATAACCTCTTCCACTAGGGAGGAATTCTGTATATAAATCAAGTCATGTATTTACATATAGTAAATCAAATCTTACATCAGATCTAAATCTCACCCACAGTTGAAGCACGTGGTACATAAAACTGGTTTGGAAGGCTGCTTCCTGGGTACACAGGTAGACCTGAGCATACCTTTAGGAGCACCATTTTGACTTATCTGAAAGTCACGTCATTGCTCCTGTTTCTTAAACAGGTAACAGTAAAGCGTTACCTTGTATTTTTTTTTTTTTAATAACTAAGGGTTTATACACATCACTGACATATGTCTTAAAATACATAAAATACCCTATTGTAACTGAACATAAGGCTCTTTGTCCTGACATTAAATATAGATGGAACTCCTGTGCTTTTTGTAGCTAATTTGGCAAGGGCTTCAGAACCAGATCATGGAGCTTGTTAGTGATATATAATAATAGAGGCTGAGACTAACGGAGAGAGAAGCTCACCTTTAAATATTCACAACAGTTTTAGTGCATGAGCTAAAGGAAATCGCTAAAGGATAAGTGAGAGTACTGAAAAGCTAGATTTCAGATAGATACGTATGGTTACAAATCAGCTAATTCAAAAACACCTACTGACCATCAAGTTCTATACACGATGTTGGAGGAGTTTCGTCCTCTCCATTGAGAATAATTTCACTGTTTGCCTTAAGTCTTCAAAACTACTGATTTAGTATCACTGGATTTACTCCTGCATAAAAACAAAAACACCTAGCTAGTCCCAAAGGCACTGGTGAGATCAGGTCTGGCTAGCCACCTTCTGTCCCTTGTAGTCAGAGCCTCTAAGGACAAGAGGTGTTGAGAACAGAGACATGATGGCAATGCAGCTACCTTTCCTGCCCAGAAACGGCACTCCTCTGGTCCCACAAACTTTTATTCATTCAGTAAAAGCTTACTGAGCACCCACTATGTGCAAGGCATTGTGCTAGGTACTGCAGTTTTTGAAATGACAAAATTGTTTGTATATGTAGGATCTGAGCTAGTCCTTGATAGTTCTCCTGATTTGAGAGAGAAAGACAGAATGCCCCTATGTGGCTCATTTAGGGAGCTAAGAGCACAGATGAGGTCTGTTTTCTGTCCTTCTATCAGCCCAGCATAAACTTTAGGCTTCCTCAAATCAGTCATAAGTCAAAACAAATAAGGCACATTTTTAAAAAAATTCCCCCCTTTAATTGACCAAAGTAAAGCCATGACATTTCATTTGGTAACCTGCTCAGAATTATAAAGATCATTCCATTTGGCTCAGCCCATACTGCCCAGGACAAAACCTCCAGACAATTCTAATCTCGTCGCGCTCTGTTCTTATAAACTGCATATTTTTAAACCATCTTCAGCGCCCTAAATGTGACACACTCAGTGCGAAGCAGATCAGAGCCGAACGGACGTAACATTTATGTCCTTGACAAGCCACGATTATCCAGGTCCTTCACCTGCCAACAGAAAGGTATCAGTTTAATATTTACAATCATCAGGTCAACATGGGAGAGCTTCTCTACTGAGCTGGGTTCACCCAGATGGGGACAGATTATGTTGGATTATGCTGCCTGGTTTGGCTCTGGTGTGGGACTAGCTACTCTTCCAAATACAGCAAGAGTTCTCAACCTTTTCTTACGTAAGAGATATAACACACTTCTATGTGACTCTCTATGCCATAAGTTCTTCAGTGGGAGAGAAGAAAATGTAGTTCGAAAACACACACACACTCTCCTCCTCTCCCTCTCTCCCTCTGTCCCTCTTTCTCTCTCCCCCCACCGCTCCAAGACTGACAATCACTAAAACAGATCAAGTCTGGCTCCAACTGGAAAAATATCACTGTAACCACTTCCAGGATGACAGAAGACTGGAGTGTCTACTTTCTAAGAACAATCTAAAATAAAAATATTCTAAGTGAGTCGCAAGCTACTTTTTAGACATTAGAAATATCCCTATTTTATAAACATGTGGCCCCGTTTTTAAGCACTAGAGCTGCTTTCTCAGTGTTACATCTGCTCACCTTGTATATCCTGACCAGCCAATGTTCTGTGGTATATGCTTCCTCCAGGACATCAAGCTCAAAGTCTTTATTCCCAATCTCAGCATTCCGAACACGGTCATAGCCTAGTGGACGCTCTAGAGAGTGACAAAAATGGAGACACACATCTTTCTACAGTGCTTATTTCCTACAGAAATACTAAGTCAACTTGATTAATCATCCCACTGGAATGTTATTCCCTAGCATGCAGTTTGTTTAGAGAGTAGGGCCTGCAGAAAAGGACATCAGTTAGTAAGGGCAAATCAAGTGTTACCCTAACTCACGTCCTCTCCGAGATGATGCTTGGCAGAGTGCACGGAGGTTATCTCTTCTAAGAGACAGAGGGCTGACTTCCAAGCACCTTTGTTCCTGAGGATTACCACCCATGGCCTCTGTGATACACTAGCAACCCTTCTGAACCTATCAGATGTCACAGGCCTGCATCTAATTCAAAAGTAGTCCCAACTGCAGAACTAAGAAAGGAAAGAAGTCGGAAAGAAAGACTTAATCAAATTACTTTCAATTTATCTGAAGAAATGTAAAGTCCTTTATCTCGCTCTATCCCCTTTCACGTTCCTTTCTCCACTACAATACCGTTTACTGAGAGGCAATAAAAAGTAATGGGCAAAAGCACAAAAGCTAGAGCCAGACTGCCTGAGTTTAACCTGACCCTGCACTAGTTATGTGCCTTTGGGCAGTTAAGGAACCTACTTGTACCTCAATTTCCTCATATATAAAATGGGAATAATATTAGTATCAACCTTTTGGATTGTTATAAGGATTAAATGAATTAGTAGATATAGAGCACTTAAAGCAGTGCCTGGCATATAAAAAACACTGTATGGGGCTTCCCTGGTGGCACAGTGGTTGAGAGTCTGCCTGCCGATGCAGGGGACACGGGTTCGTGCCCCGGTCCGGGAAGATCCCACATACCGCGGAGCGGCTGGGCCCGTGACCCATGGCCGCTGAGCCTGTGCGTCCGGAGCCTGTGCTCCGCAACGGGAGAGGCCACAGCAGTGAGAGGCCTGCGTACCGCAAAAAAAAAAAAAAAAAAAAAAAACACACTGTATGTGTTAGCTATTACTGTTGTTACTGTTGTTATTATCAGGAATCACTCACTGGCTTCTGTGTAGACTTGTCCAAAGCGGTAGTAACACATCTTGTACATGAGGCAATTGAGCAGCACTGGAGAACCCTCACGGTCCACACGGAATTCTCCAGTTGGAGTATAATAATCATGTTCCTTGATATGTTTGCCTGTATCTGTGCTCCCTCCAATCCGGACCATCCACAGAAATTTGTTGATGTCTAGAAAAAAAAGAAAAAGAAAAAACTGCTGTTATCACAAAGGTTGCTGGAGCTAAATCACCTAATGAAAGGTCACTATGTCTAAGGAAATTCCCCCAAATACTTTTCTAATGGGGTATAGTACCATTTAACTCTAAGTTATAAAAATAACAAAGCTAATGTATGGTCAAAACTTTTTTCCTCAAAATATACAGCCTTTCCTATAGATTTTCCTGTAGACTCCTAAAATCCTACGCTATTGGCCCAGACTTAGGTCGTAACTGAAGTTAGTCCCAAGTATTAGCTAGGGCTAAGCTGTCCAATATATTAGCTATTAGCCACATGTAGCTGCTGACACTTGATATGTGGCTAGTCCAAATTAAGATGTGCTGTAAGTATAAAATACATGATGGATTTCTAAGACTTAGTCCAAAATAAAACAAAAAAAAGTGGGTAAAATATTTTGGTTACACATTAATGTTTTAGATATATTCAGTTTAATAAAATTATTTAATTCATTTTCCCTGTTTCTCTTTACTTATTTTGATATGGCTAATAGAAAAAAAAATTTTTTAATAAATTTATTTATTTTATTTATGTATCTTTGGCTGTGTTGGGTCTTCGTTGCTGCGTGTGGGCTTTTCTCTAGTTGCGAAGACCAGGGGCTACTCTTCCTTGCGATGAGTGGGCTTCTCGTTGCGGTGGCTTCTCTTGTTGCGGAGCACGGGCTCTAGGCACGTGGGCTTCAGTAGTTGTGGCACACGGGCTCAGAAGTTGTGGCTCGCAGGCTCTAGAGCACAGGCTCAGTAGTTGTGGTGCACGGGCTTAGTTACTCCACAGGATGTGGGATCTTCCCGGACTACGGCTCGAACCCCTGTCCCCTGCATTAGCAGGTGGATTCTTAACCACTGTGCCACCACGGAAGCCCCGCTAATAGAAAATTTTAAGAATACATACGTGGATCCCACATGTCATTGGACAGCAATGACCTAGGGAGTAGCAGCTTTACCAAAAAGGTAGAGAAGAGAGAATGTGCTCCCTCTTGACCTACAGTTGCAAAGTTACAAACTTCTAAAGCACAGGTATGAGAAGTCAACATTTCTATGTCAAACACACTACCAGGCTCCATAAATACTGACAGCACCATCAACTCAGGTTATCTCTTAGAATATGTCACTCCCTGTATCTCCCCCAAAGGCTTTAGGGAAATAGACGATTAGTATAAGATGAATCATTGATCCGTAAGAAAAGATTCCTACTGCCCTACTAAAAAGGGTTCCAGGGAATATCACAGTGAAGAACACAGACTCTGGATCTGGACTCTGGATAAACTGCCTGGGTTTGAATTCCCACACTGCCAATTCTAGGTGGGTGACCCTGAACAAGTTACTGAACCTCTCTGTGCTTCAGTTTCCTCATATGTCGAATTAGAAAAACAAGAGTATCTGCAACGATAGGGCTGCTACAACATTATAAGTAAAAGCATGTTACCTTACATATTGTTTGTCACATAGTAAGTATTCAAGAAATAATATTATTATCCTCATGGAATGTCTGCAATCGTACCTCCATCTTTCAAATGGAAAACCTGAAGCACAGCGACTTGCCTAGACCACACAGCCAGAAATAGGACCAAAAATAAAACCCCAGAGCATCAACTCAACTATCTTAGAGTACTGATTTTATAGCTCCCTGGCAGGTATGTTTGAAGCAAAAAGCTGACAAGCTTTGAGAATGGAAGACTGCACAGCAAAAGAAATGATCAACAAAATGAAAAGGCAACCTATGGAATGGGAGAAAATATCTGTAAACCATATATCAAATAAGGGGTTAATATCCAAAATATATAAGGAACTCATACAACTCATAGCAAAAAAACCCCCAAATAATCCAATTAAAAATGGGCAAAAGACCTGAAAAGACATTTTTCCAAAGAAGAGATTCAAATGGCCAACAGAAAAATGAAAGAAAAGGTGCTCAACATCACTAATCATTAAGGAAACACAAAACTACAATGAGGCATCACCTCATACCTGCTAGAATGGCTCTCGTCAAAAAGACAAAAGACATGCCGGTAAGGATGCTAAGAAAAGGGAATACTTGTGCACTGCTGGTGGGAATGTAAATTGGTACAGACACTACAGCATCAGTAGGGAGGTTCCTCAAAAAATTCAAAATAGAACTACCATGTGATCCTGCAATCCCACTTCTGGGGATATATCCAGAAGAAATGAAATCAATATCCCAGAGAGATATCAGCAGTCACTGCAGCATTATTCACAATAGCCAAGACATGGAAACAACCTTGGTCTATCGACAGATGAACAGATAAAGAAAATGTGATAGATATATATATGTATCACGGAATACTAAAGATTTCAGGGAACTATCCATTTCTACCACATACGTGTGTACATTCACATATATAAACATACATATGCACACAAACATACATACATACACAAATACTTTTCTGTACTATTTGGATAATTATTATTAGCAAGAAAAAAACCTATAATCACACACAACCAAATGGTGCTGAAACAATTGCTTGTGAAAGTTCAAATCCATGGGACCACATCCCTGCTATCATCATTCTTCCTCTGCTTGTACAAGACACACCACACATAGAAACTAGTCTTATTACTTTATACTGACACTTTACATATACTATCCAGGTGGATTCGTTAAGTCTGTCTATATCAGAAGCCAGACATAATCTAAAATCTGAACATCTCTAAGAAGCAACCACATATTCAAAGAAAATTAAGACAGAAATATGAGGTAATTATTAACTGCAGAAAACAAGTTATTCTAGATAAGAATGTAACCATGGTGTACAGGTTGACTCAGCAGTAAATAATATTTACTTAGTCAGGATGAAAACACTTTATCTGGATTTAACCAAAAACTGATCATTAACTCTACTGAGAAGATGCAAGACAGAAAGGGGGAGGGGATCATACAAAGAACTAAATTCCTTATCTACCTTAATAAGAAGTTGACACAGCGTATCTAAAATGATCGATCAATGAATAGCAGGATATACATATTATTTAGAAATATGTACGTAAGTACTAGAAGAAATAACTGAAGGAATAATTTTCCTGGGAACTGGTGTTATAAAGTAGTTTAGGGGCAGAGGACTTTTTTTTTTTTTTTTTTTTGCAGTATGTGGGCCTCTCACTGTTGTGGCCTCTCCCGTTGCAGAGCACAGGCTCCGGAAGCACAGGCTCAGCGGCCATGGCTCACGGGCCCAGCCGCTCCGCGGAATGTGGGATCTTCCCGGACTGGGGCACAAACCCGTGCCCCCTGCATCAGCAGGCGGACTCTCAATCACTGCACCACCAGGGAAGCCCTACCATTTTTATTATAAACCTTCAGAAGTATTTAACATTTAAAAATATAAACAGGTATTGCTTTACTTTTTTTAAGGCAGAGAACTATATTTGGATGACTCTTCTAAGCATACGATTTTGCTAATAATCACAGGGAACATGGTTAACATATGTCATATAAATATATATATATAAAACATTTTAAGTTGGCAGATGATTCTATGGCTTAAACCCACCAAAAAATGTTAATTCTTAAGCTCATTTTCAGAAGCCTTATATTCTCTGTTGTTCACTGGTTGTGGAACTACTCCTAAGTCTTTAGACAATTATAGCATGCCATATCTACATGAGAAGAATTCTTTATATCTACTTCCTATCTGTTGCTAAATAAATAAATAAATGAATAAAAATAACCAAATCTCAAGTTGCAAATACTTAAAAACTTCCCCAACTAAGAAAATATGTTGATAAGATATTGGTAAAAGGATAGAAAAATAAAGAGATTCATCTAGTTTTCTTAGAATCTATGCCTTGTAGCTAGAAGTAGAATCAAGTACATTACCATCAGAGGAATACCCAGTGAGGCCTCCAAAAATGACCAGCACATAGCTAACATCAAGCTCCCTCATGATCTCGTAGGCTTTTTCTTCTGTGGATGCCATTGCCTAGAAAAACACACGCACGTTTCTCAGCGCAAAATTCCAGGCCATATGACCCCTCATGGAGAAGTATTTCCCACTAAACCCTGTGCATCAAACACTCAAATGACCCCTTCACCTTACCTGCCCTACTCGAGAAATATGGGTATTATTCCATGTGTTGTTATCCACTAAAATAGTCCGATTCGCCATAGCTGTAATCTGGTAGCCATAATCCCACCATGACATGACCTTCGCATCCTGAAAGAAGAATGGGAGATGGAAATAACAAGCTTCTCACTGCCTCCAAAATCAAATACAAGAGGGGTGGAAGGGCATCTGACAGGAAGTGAGATATTGCTAATTAATCAGTTTCTTCACAGAATAACATATGCCCAACAAGAAAATACATCTTGGTACCTGGTCCTACATTTACATACAATCATGAAATCTCAACGCAAATTATACAACCCAACATTGCCAATGCTTTCATCCCAGATCATCTTATACAAACAAGCATAATGGTGCGGGAGGTGTAGTGGGCCGTGCAGTATTTCCAAATAAACAGCCTGGTGTCCTCAGATAACCGTATTAAATAAATGACCAAAAACAAAGGCACAATAATCAGTTACTAAAAAGAAGGGGGGTGGGGGAGGGGAAACAAATCACAGGATAGGACGAAAAAGAATTAAGAAATTCTTATAAGAATCTAACTCAGAAGTGCCATTCCCAGCAGCTATTGGAAAGAAAATCACTTCAGATTCTCAAATGGTATAAACCAAAATGTTAAAAGTGGTTATCATTAGGTGATCCTTTATGGAAAATTTATGTCTCCTTTTTCTTTTCTTTGCTTCTATTTTCGGATTTTTCTACAATAAACATGCATTATTTATTAACTATTTTTCTTCTTTTATAATTGGAATGGCCTACCTCATGATAAAATCACCATGCTGTCAATACAAGTGTCCAAGCAGAGTGCAGATAATTACCAGTAAAGGTCGCTTACAGAAAAAGTCCTGAATTGAATGGAGGTTGACCTTTAAGGCTCATTCAACACCAGGTTCGATAGCTCCAATTTCTCCAAGCTTTCCACCCATCTAAAAGCTATCTGATTCATTCTAACATCCAATGTCTCTCCCTTCCTCCTACCGCACAATCCCACGCCTCCCAAAGCTTCACCTCTGGAGTATTGTGACGAAGCCAATAGTACGCTTCTCGGAAGTCATCAAAAATGATCCTACTACCATCCCCACCACGAGCAGACAGTACAATGGACGGAGAGGAGTAGGCCTCGCTGGTCACCCAGGTTGAATGAAAGGTATAGGTGATGAGAAAGAAAGCCATGACGAGTATCATGCCACTTGCCACCTAGACAAGGAAGAACAACTGTGTTGTAAACCAAATTAAATTTATGTAACACAGAACAGCTTCTTACACACAGTCAGTAATATAGATGAGATGACTCAGAATAAATTAGAGGCTATATGAGTTCATTCCGAGCTGACAGTGCTCTACTTTACTCCCCCTCACTCAAACAAACAAACAAAATACAAATGCAAACACACACACAAAGACACACACAGTTCCCCAAGGCAGTGCTTTGCGTTGCTTAATTCTCACTTCATTCTTAATAGGGTAGGTAGAATCCTGTTGTTTCTTGTTCTTCTTGTCTGGTCTACTTATGTCCAAATTCTTCATATAAGTGGACAGCACCTGAGAGACTCCGATGCCAGAAAGAATGCACATAACAGGCGCCAACACTAGCATCAGACGCACCTAAAAAAAAAAACGGAAGCAAGATCACAATCAGTGTTTTACAAATTACAGATTTCAACCTATTAGTAGATGATGACATCAATTTAGGGGTTTTCAACAAACATGATTTGTCAGTGAAATGGAACGAAATAGAAGAGAAAATACTTGATACATCTATAGTAGAATATATATATTTTTTAAAGTTTGTTTTTCAGGTCTACATGTATATATGTATACCCTGAGCAATGATATGATATAAAATGTATTTCTTAACTGTGGTTTGGGATCAAAAAAGTGTGAGAAGCACTGACTTAACTGCAATATATAAACTCTCTTCTCTCTTTTAACAACCTAGCACTCAGAACCCAGGCCTTTAAGAAAAAAACATCATCTCCCTTTTTAGGACACCAGAAAGAGAGGGGAAGGAACCCGCCCGGGGTCAATTTCTCCAACAAGTGACAAAGTGCCTTTCCCTAACACAAGGGTTATGAATCCAAGGAAGGTGGGCCCCACAATCAGAATGTATGAGTGCCCCATACATTCCTGGGAAGGATCAACAACAGTGAGCAGCTTTACTACGCAGCCCCTCAAGCGCTCAGAGGGAAGCCCCGGCACAGCATCAATATTGAACCTGCCATGCAGGGGTACGAAGAAAACCCTCAGAGCTAGGGGTGGAAAGGTTCGCTAAGACTGCAGGCATTCATTCCTCACCATCACAGCTGAAAAGTACATGCTGGTCACACCATACATGATGATGAAAATCCGGGCATCAGACAGGTTGCTAAAGCAGTAATAAAGACCAACTACAAAAGTAAAAGTAAAAAGAAGTGAAAAGCTGAAAAAACAATCATAGATACATGCAAAGATGTTACTACAGCACTCTTTAAAACAGCAAAAAATCTGAAACCACATAAATGTCCAACATTAAGGATGTAGTTAATTACAGAATATTTATAAAATAGAATAAAATACATCAATTAAAGTACTGCTGTGGAAGTTTATGGACCATATGCCTTCCTCTTTACACACCTCTGTACTTAAAAAACTAACAAATGATATATCTTATATATTATTTCTCTAAAGTAATACTAAATAACAAATTATCATGATTATGAAATTTTAAAAGTCAGGAAAAACTCTATCATCTCACTTCTAATCAATAAATAAATGGATGAATATACATCAAAGCGTTAACAGTAGCAACAGGTGTGTGGTGAGAACTCCTGAAATTTTACTTTTTAAAATATTTGTCTATATTTTTACAAATGACAACTTACTTTCATAATAAGAAAAAAAAAGTTACTTTAATAAAAAACAAAGTCCCTACCACTGGTAAATTCTAAGATATATCTGAATTGGCCAGAAGATAAGTTAGATGAAGAAGTTTTACAGTCAGCTATGCCTATTCTCAAAATTCAATACTGCCAAGAAGATAAATGGGGAGGAGTCAGGGATGAGGGGTGGGGTATACTAGAAGCACTCAAAAACCCTGAACTAGGGCTGAACTGTAACTTATGATACAAATGAACAGAAAACTGTGAGACTCTGAACTTGCCAGTATCTGCAATTGTTCAACTTCTGCTCTGCTTCAAATATTAGAAAAATGTGCTTAGCCATCCTCTGTACTGCATAGATAAACAGGCAAAAACCAAAAACAACAACAAAAGCACAAGGATGAGGGTATTTTACTTATTTTGAATCAAATGATGATTCTTAGAAAGAAGATCACTTCAGAACAAGGCAAACAGACCTGGAAACATGAAGACGAGAAGCTGCAGGTCGAAATAGTACGAAGACCAGGTCGTAGGCTGATGCTCGGACACAGAGGCGATGATGGGGATGTTGTTCTTGGCATAAGAAGGATCCAGCAGTGAGTAGAAACGGCCTGTCCAGGGAGATATTTTTCCTGGCAGCAAAGAGGCAACAAATATTTCACAATTACTTCTGAAACAAAATAACATGTGATCCTAACTAATCACAACTTTCCATTTTAATAAGCTTCTCTGAGACAGAGGACTAGGTTTTTGTTTAAATGCCACCAATACTTTGAGAATTTCACTCCTTCCTTTCTTTCAAACTTGAGAGTATTTTTGTCAGCACAGTCAGTAGAATAAAGTCAGGTTGTATATAAATTCAGAGAGAAGGGAGGCAGAGATACTTCCTAGAAGGGTTTTAGGACCAATCTGGTCAAACCAAGGCCAATGCTATAAACTAAGTCACTCAGCCCTCCAGTGGTGCTCTGAATACACAGAGTCTTGGGCAAAATCAAATCAGACTCTGAGAAGTGTACGTGAGGAAGATGAAGAGAGGAGGAAAACGTGGCATGCTACCCAAACTAAACAGTCACGGTTTTGTCATATGGGATTAGATGAGGCCACACTGTAGGGCAAGCAATGTTAGGATTTCTCCCACCCTACCAATAGGAAAGAAAAGGACACACACACACACACACACACACACACACACACACACGAGAAAGATTAGCATGGTAAAATACAGTCCTGTCACCAAGTGTAGGTCTTCTGAGATTAAGAGCTGATCTAATATGATTTTCTTTCTATGCTGAATCCAGACACTGGCTGACAATAGGATTGAATGTGCAGAAGTTGGACTTTATATGCTTGAAATCAAGAGAAATAGGAGGAAAAGAATGAATCTTTCTGTGGCCAGGAAATAACCCATATTTTTGGAGTTTATTCTATGTTCATACCCATTTACACTTAATACTAAAAGCCTTCCCTACCTGTCAGCATGAGGAGAGCTCCCACGGTGAGAAGGACAAAGCCTACCAGCGAGATGACACTTCGGAAAAGAACTTCAAATTGCTGTGGATTCAACTTGCTGCGTAGATAATCCACAAAGGCATGGATCTGGCAGAGACCAAAGACCCCAAAGGCTGCCATGTGCTCTGATGAAAGGACGGGCTGTAGGTGAAAGCATATGTATGAGATTGTTAGGAAAAGAATGGGTCCAGCCTTGACCTGAATTATCCTGACCAAGTTCAGACCAAAGGGTCCAATGAGTTCTAAGGCCACCAAGGAATTAGGACCAATCTAGAGGAGGGTCTAATTCACCTACCTCATTTTTCAAAGAATATTTAGAGTCCTCCAAAGTGTACCACACTCTATCATTATCACATCTCTGGCCTTTGCTCAGGCTATTTCTTGAGTCTCGATTGCAATTCTCACTTTCCCAAAATTTGCATTCACAGAAATTCTGATCATTCAAGGCCCAATGCAAATACCATTTCCTCCTAATCTACCAAACTGAAATCCATCACTCTCCTCTATATTCCACACACTTTAGATCTCTTCCATAACTTAGACCAATGGTCTCAAACTCCACCAGGCATAATCATGGCAGGGGACAGGAAGAGGGGGGGTTTAGACAGACTGCTAAGCCCTACCGCCAGAGTTTCTGATTCAGTAGATCTGTGGCAGGTCCCCAGAATTTGCATTTCTAATGAGTTCCCAGATGCTGCTGACACTGCTCGTCCAGGAACTACATTTCTAGAACGACTAGACCACAGACTAGTGGTTCTAGAAGCATGTGCTTCTTTCCCAACAAGACTGTGACTTCCTTAAGGGCCAGAACCACATTTTTACTTTTAACATTTCCCAGGTATTAGCAAACTGCATACAGCAGGTGATCAGTAACGAAAAACTTGCTGACCTGAATAAGGGTTCCACTTTCGTAAGAATTTTACATGACAAATCACACATACCACATTATTCTCTGACTTAATAGCTGTCTCTTAACCCTGTTGGGTAATGTGGTTAAAAGGTTCAGGCTTTGCTTGCTAAAGAACTTTCACTTGGGCCTGATTAAGAAGTTCAGGGGTCATTACTATTAAATGGAGTCATTCGCCTTAAAAAGGACTGAAAAAGATAACTGTGATCACTCACCTTAACTCAGCTCAACCAAAATATCCCTCCTCCTCCCATAAACCTAAGCCAAGTTAGGAGTCATTAAATTCAAACTTCATGAACAAATATTAACACACTCCAGGAGGCAGACTTTAATGACCAATAACTGTTGCTTCAGTTAACAGAAGCAGTGTTAGCAAGGTCAGACCTGTGAATAAGTTTTACTATCCTCACCAGAATCCAAGATAAATCAATTTAGTTGGAGCTGCTTAGAAAAAGTGGAAGAAGCTAAAAACCTCACGCAGTCTAGGGCTCACCTGGAAACCCACAAAGGAGATCTGCATGGAAAGGATGGTACCCAGGCAGTAAACAGTACAGTAGGCCACATAGATCCGGTGGGAGAAACGTCCTGTGAGCATCAGCACCAGTACATGAAGCGGGATCAAGTTGATCAAGAACACATAACCTCCCCATGAAGAGACCTAGGACAGAATAAAAAAGAAAAGTTCGTCTGAGCACTCCTCCTTGGATCACCACCATTGTACCTTAGGATGTTACCTGTGACCTTTTTTTTTTCTTTCTGCAGTACGCGGGCCTCTCACTGCTGTGGCCTCTCCCGTTGCAGAGCACAGGCTCTGGACGCACAGGCTCAGCAGCTATGGGTCACGGGCCCAGCTGCTCCGCGGCACGTGGGATCTTCCCGGACCGGGGCACGAACCCGTGTCCCCCGCATCAGCAGGTGGACTCTCAACCACTGCGCCACCAGGGAAGCCCTACCTGTGACCTTTTTAAAGAACATCTCTTTACAGTAACCAAAAACTTTATTTACACCAAGTGGTTTAAAGAGTTTAAATAATTGACTTCTTTAAGTAGGAAAATCAAATTAACACCCATTACTGTAACTCAATCCTCTGTTTGCTATGGCTCCTGCCATCACGATCACAAAACAAGAGGCCCCCAACTCTCAGCATTAATCTGGATACACCCTACGGTAAGGTCACACAGAGGATTTAGGGATTCAAGGGAAACGTGATCAAGTGGAAGCAGTTAAGGAAAGAAGTCTCGGTGTTTACAAGTTTGAACAGAAAAAAATATACGTCAGGAAAGGAAAAATTTAAGGGGAATTTATGTTATAAAATTATAGGGATAGATAATGAATAAAATTATGTTAGCCCATAATCTATTAACACAGATTAATGCAGACTATAAAAATTAATAATAATGGGCAGATAGTAATGTGCCATGAGAGAAGGGTGAGCAGAGTACTTTGGGAACGTGGTGAGAGGAGAGATTAATTCAGATATGGGCTAACATAATTTTATTCATTATCTATCCCTATAATTCCTTAATTATAAGCCAATACTCCTATTCATTAACTATCTTTATAATACCTAACACTGTTTTACCAATAACATTCAATAAATACAGGCTGCATTGGAAATAAGTCAATAAAAGTCACTACAGTTCTAAGAATACCCACTCCTCTCATCTAGGAAAATAGAGCAAATGATTACAATGTTAAAACAACAGTACCAACCAACACTAAAACCAGAAAAGAGAGTTGGCCAACCAATATGTACCCATAGGAAATACAGTATCTGGAAACCTTTAAAAATTAAAAGAATTATCTCTATCTTGCTATTATACAATGGATATGCCTGCCTGCCTTGGATTAGGCTTTGTATGGACACAACAGACTATATAAAGACTTTTAGCCTCTAGTTCATGGTCTCAAAGCCGAAGAGCTACTTCCAATTTATATCAGTTGATCCCGATAGGTATTCAGACATAGAGAGACTCCTGAAAGTAGGGAGTGAAGAGTTACCATGTAGAAATAAGCAAGGGCACACTTGGCTGCCCAACAGATGGAACCAGTCTTTACTGCTTTGATCCACATGTAGTAGGTGAGTAGCATGCAGAAGATGGCAATCCCTGCAGAAAGAACACAAAAATCCAGTAAAAGGCCATGCTGGAAGAGTATTTCATACTGTTCTGGAACAAACTACCTGGATTCATATCTCAGACCTACTACCCAAACAGTGTAATTACTCTACCTCCCTTTGTCTCAGTTTCCTGTAAAAGAGTCCATAATAGTATCTACTTCATAAAACTATTGTGAAGACAAATTTAACTATTGCATGTAAAGCACTTAGAACAGTACCTAGCATGCAGCAAGCACTCAGTAAGTATGAGTCATTATTACTACTATTCTTTCCAGGCACTAAATTCCCTGCTGTTTCAGTCCTAAAGATATCCCGTACTATCAAGCACCAGCCTGCCTCTACATCTTACCACAAGCTGGTCCATATGCCCTGACTGCCTCTCTCCTTAATGTCTGCCTAACGAAGTTCCAACTTCAGGGCCCAGTTCAAATACAACTACTTCCAAAAAGCCTTCCGTGATCCCCAAATCTGAATTAATCTCTCCTCTCACCACGTTCCCAAAGTACTCTGCTCACCCTTCTCTCATGGCACATTACTATCTGCCCATTATTATTAATTTTTATAGTCTGCATTAATCTGTGTTAATAGATTATGGGCTAACATAATTTTATTCATTATCTATCCCTATAATTCCTTAATTATAAGCCAATACTCCTATTCATTAACTATCTTTATAATACCTAACACTGTTTTACCAATAACATTCAATAAATACAGGCTGCATTGGAAATAAGTCAATAAAAGTCACTACAGTTCTAAGAATACCCACTCCTCTCATCTAGGAAAATAGAGCAAATGATTACAATGTTAAAACAACAGTACCAACCAACACTAAAACTTAACTCTACTTTTAGGAGTACAGAGATGAGCCAAAGGCCTTATATAAGGAAAATTACCAGCTACCTTTCTAGAGGAAATGACAGAGAGAAAATATAAACTTGTCTGAGGTCCCTTCCTGCCCATTTTTTTTTTTTTTTTTGGATGTGGACTGTTTTTAAAGTCTCTATTGAATCTGTTACAGTATTGCTTCTGTTTTATGTTTTGGTCCCCTGGCCGAGAGGCATGTGGGATCCTAGCTCCCCAACCAGGGATCAAACCCACACCCCCTGCACTGGAAGGCAAAGCCCCAACCACTGGGCCACCAGGGAAGTCCCTTCCTGCCCATTTCTAATCTTCTCACCCAGACACCATTTTTGCTATCACTAAACAACAGATTTGAACCCAGATTCTACTGCACTTCATGAAGCTCTACTAGATAATGAGGTGAACAGATCCTCTTCAGCCCTCTAAGTCTTACCTTCATTATCATAGGAGCCAGCCACAGATCGGGAGATATAGCCAGGAACTACAGCAATCATGGCTGCAGCAAGAAGTCCAGCTCCTGCATCCTGTAAGACAAGAGGGGTAACAGGAAGTTAACACCAATACATCTATGAAAGAGAAGAGAGGATCCACTAGTCCAGTCTGCTTACAATGGGCCCAGAGAACAGTCTGACACTTTCCACAGTAGATGTGATGCTAGAAATGCTAGAAATGTTTGCAGCACAAGAAAGCTACATACTTCACAACCAATTCCCCGCGATGATGACAAGTCTGAAACTGAGGACACACACATGCTAAGAACAGAAAAATCATGTAAGCTGTCAGATGCTGCCCCAGAATGGGCTACTTGGCTGGAGTACCCCCAGACTTATGAGTCCCTACCCCTAACAGTATCTGCACACCACAGGAGCACCAGTCACCCCTCTGCAAGCTATCCAAGGACAACCAAAGGAAGACCACACGGATTGGAGCTGAAAAGCCACCGAAGACAGGTGACAGTCTCTCTGGACTGAAGATGCCAGGATCTTAGATAATAAAGCTGGAATATTCCTAGGCAATCTGTGAACTCAGGAGAGAAGAACAACAAAGTATAACCCACACTCCAAAAAAGGAAAAGGACTTGTCTGTTCGTAAGAGTCAAATTTGGAACAAGGGCAGCAAGGAGAAGGATAAAAACGTTTCCAAATTAAACTCAAGCCCTCCTACTAGTTTATCACCTCTCAGGTATCTCCCTGACACCATAGCCACAAACTAAGAATAGCATGCAAGGAGCCAGGGTCAGCAATGCAGAAACCTAGAAGAAGAGAGTCAGTATTATGGAGTCTACTACAAAAGCCAAGTGGTTTAAGAATTTTTAAATAAACATTTGAAAAAAAAAATCAGCAAATAATTGCTAACTGTCCATTTCCAGTAGGAAGAACTAACCACTTCGGAATGCTTCTTGTAGTTATTTTTCCTCTCCCTTAGATTGTGAGGAATTCAAAATCTAAACCTCATTTTAAACATTTTTTTCCCCATATGTAGCAATTTATATTTGACCTTCATATGTTCTCTTCTAAGGATAAACAGTTGCTAATGACAAGAAACCACATATTCTCGGGAGGGGCTGGGGTGAACTCAGGAACTCGGCTCCGCAAAAGCTGGCTTTAGCCTCTGGCTCCCTGCCCTTCTAAGGCTTTCAGTCCCCCACCCTTTAGCATCAACTTGAGAGGTTCAACAACATTCATTCCCAAGCCTCCTGTCACCCCAAATCCTTCACCTTGAGCTCTTTGGTAAGGTGGTACGTGACGATGGTGGTGAAGGAAGAGAAGAGAGGGGCCAGGAACACACAGACATTCCGAATGTCGATGGTGATGTGGAAAAAATGGAGGACATGGTAGATTGCTGCAGAGGTGATCATTAAGCCTGTAACAAGAAGAAGAAGGGCCAATAGGTTATCCTAGTAAGACAAAGACCTTAAGGGAAAGAGAAAGGGAAAATCCAAGTATCAATAAAGTGATAACACCGGTTTTGACAAACCACCAGAAACACTAATACAGCAACTGCAGGAGGCCTGTAAATTTCTCTCCTATGGATTCAAGCAGAAGTCCAGAATTTATGGAAAACTACCCATTCCCACTCTCCCATACATGTTCTCCCTTCTATATAAGATCTACTTTTAGGAATCTGCAAGCAGAATGAAATTACAAGTGTCACAAAACAAAGATATTAGAAATAAAAGACACTGTTCCATAATATAAAAATATCTTACTGCTGCAAAGGAAAAAAATCCTGTTCCCCTCACCTGGGTAAATTGTTCCTCCAATGATTCGTCCCAAAGGGTACCAGGCCCGGTCATCAAACCAGTTATGGAATTTATAAAATCCCTCCTCAGCCAGGAACCGGGTAGTCCGATAATTAAAGTACCTATAACAAGAAAGAAATGAATTGTGTCTCCTCCTCTCCATACCCAAACACTTGCCTCAGTTTGCAGTGACTTTTGCTCCTCAGGTTACACCACTGAGGAACTTATCATTACTCCAATAACAGTCAGTTTGGTACCAAAAAGTATTTCAAGCATGAAAATCATTTTACATCACCATAAGCCTCCTCATTTATAGCTCCATGCTTGTCTCAGTTAAAGCACTGCTTCTCTCATAAGGAAATGCAACCGTAGTCTAACCTTATAAGAAAACACTCAAGAAGGATGCTTCACCAGGCTGGCATGTAGTAGGCATTAGCCCCAGTCAGAAAATTCAAGCACTCCAAAGACAGGACAGCTGAGATGTGGACACCAAGAGACTTGACTCTTTTCAAGTGACAGGAACACACAGAAGAATATTTCCATACCACAGGCAAGGAGACAAGGATAACTTTAGGTGATGAGCATCTCTAAAGATGTGGGTGTAACACCATACGCAGGATGAACATTTTTTAGTCCACTCCATAACACAAACTTCTTTTTTTTTTTTTTTTTTTTTTTTTTGCGGTACGTGGGCCTCTCACTGTTGTGGCCTCTCCCGTTGCGGAGCACAGGCTCCGGACGCGCAGGTCCAGCGGCCATGGCTCACGGACCCAGCCGCTCCGCGGCATGTGGGATCTTCCCGGACTGGGGCACGAACCCGTGTCCTCTGCATCGGCAGGCGGACTCTCAACCACTGCGCCACCAGGGAAGCCCCCACAAACTTCTTAATAAGTGTTTAAACTTGTAATTAGATCTACTCATGTTGTTATCTAAAATAGTTCTGAATGCCACCTCCATGGTAGCATAAAAATACAGATTACATAAAAAATACTTGACATAAAATGCGGACACAGTTCTTTAGGTCCAAGCTATGTAACCCCTTCTCTTAAGTTTCTCATTTAAAAAGAAATAAAAAAGACAAAAATATATATGGAAATAATAAAAATATAAACAAATAAATAAAATAAAGGGAGCTGTTTAATCACTAAAGATAATCATTACTAACCATCTTTCCTGCCCACCCCTCTAACCCCATTTCCTCGTTGGTCAGTCAAGTTTTAGCAGCTGAAGTAAGTAAAGTAGCAGATGGCAGAAATCTCTATCCTTCTGGTTGTTGCTGATGAATGTTATTTTGGTAACTGTCAGGGAGACAGAAGGGATGGGGGTAGAAGGCGGTCAGCGTGTGTCAGAATCATGTCCTTTACCTAACAGTAGGAGAGGCAGAGTGACACAGGGGAAGTGCAAGTTAGTGGGAAAAGGTCTGGCCTGGGTTCACACCCTGGGCCTCAGTTTCCTGCTCTGCAAAAGAAGTGTCAAATCACATGATCTGTACAGTCCCTTCCATCTCTACAACTACAGAGCAGATGCTCTTGCTTTCCCTGACCATCTCATCTCAGTGTTTGCTCATCTAGAGGGTCTGAGAAAAAGCCCTAACAGACTGGTGATCAAGAAACAAAAGGATATAAGTTTCCTCATTCATGAGAGAGAAAACAAAAAACAGAAAAAACTGATTTGGGAGGCCCCAAAGAAAAGATCTGTATGCCTCCAAAGTGCTTTCAAATATCTACACAAAACAATACGACAAATCTGTAAATACATGCAGGTATTAAACTTGAATCCATGCTCCATAAACTGAATATGCTATTTTTAAGATATCAACGATGTTTCAAGAACCTATGATTCTGGTTCTCCAAATTTTTAATTAAGCCTTAACGTTAGGTAATATAATATAGTTACTCCAGTGTCTAGAAACAGACAAACGTAGATTCACATCATGGCTCCTCCATTTACTCTGTGTGTAACCTTGAATGGTCTTTGCCAGCCTCAGCCACATTTGTGGAAAGGAGACACCACTACCTCCTTCTCGTAGGGTTATTGCAAGGATTTATAGATAATCTGTAAAACAGTTCTTGGAACAAAATGAAGCTCAGTAAATGTTTTTCACCTATGCCTCTTTTTATCTAATAAAATCTCCAATCCAACTCACAGCTTTAAATTTTCCTCAGTGTCTTACAACTTAACTGATAGGCCCAATTTCTATCATATTCACTGTTAAACAGAAAAAAGTCACAGATCTCAAGATCATGACCTATAATTTTTCTTTTGAACCTCAAACACACACCAGGCCCAGGCCCCTTTCCCTCAGTCTGCACCATTAACTGTCTACCAAGCTGAGAAGCCAGGCTTCTCTTAGCTTAGCCAGATCTTAAGTGATAGGCACACCAGCAACGCCTCTCTCATTTTTTAAGAGTTTGAGAGACTCGCTCAAATTCCAACAGAAATGTTTCAAAAGGAGACAATTATCTCCTTTGGAAAACTTGAGAGTTTTCCTCCCAAAATGTATAGAAAGTCCATCCCCATTACAGAGAGCTCACTGGAACGTGAATCTGAAAACCATGAACCTAAATGCTTCCCAAAGGAAATACCAGACCAAGCAAAGGTACTCACGGATCAAATTCATGGATGACACTTTCAAATCTCAGGACAGCAAACAGACGAGTGGAGAATGCTGCAAAAACCAGAGAACTATTATTTTAATGGTAATGTACCATGAAAAACAATAGTAGGTAGTAATATTATAGAGAGAATAGTATTATCCAGCACACAAGTCACAGAAAATGCAAAATGATGCTGAATATTTATCCATTCCTCCCACACAGAAGAAACAAAGAAGTTCGCCTTCCCCTGACAATGACACCTACATTTCCACTTCAGTAGGACACATTTAACTACTTATTGTCGAGGCCTATGACAACACATTCACCTACTAATATTGCACCCAATTTACACGGTCGTCTTGTATATATGTTGACCTCCCCTCCCCACAACCTTACCTCCCCAAACCTTAGTTTGAGGCAAACTAAGAGGTAAGGAAATCAAGACTACTTATGACTCATGAAGAGCTAGAAAAACCTAAGAAAACAGAGTAAGTTCTGGAGAGATTTTCAGAAATACTAAGGCAGGCAACCACAGAAGACAAGTATCTTTTACAAAATTCAGTATCTCAGAGTCCCCGGTATCTCTTTCAGTCCTAAGAGAAAACAGAATTAGTACAGTGTGCTTCTCATTCTGTCCCAGATGATCACTAGTCCCAACTTTTATAATCCTTGTGTTTCTTTTATTTTGCTTTCGCAAAATTCTACTGATTGAGAACAGTAAAAAGAACACATTGCAATCTGCTGGAAAAAAACAAGGCATTTAAGAGAGCCATTGTTGATTTTTCAAGATTTTCTCCTTTCCATATCTGAAGAAAGAGAGGTCCACGTGCACACTCACATAACACAGCAGCCATTGACAGAATTAGAAGCTTCAGAAGTGTGTCCTGCTTCTCATAGGACAACCGTAAAAATCCCAGCTTGGTCATCTTGACATCAATGGGTGGCAACAGATGACACTCAAATAGCTAAAATGGAAAAGTCAAGACCATAAGATATTAAACACCTTCAATTTACCTAATTCAGTTTCATATTTTACGGTGGTAGAGAAACACAGAAACAGGAGTAATGCGCACACCAGAGAGGGTCAGGGCTAATACTAATACCCAAGCCAAGCCTGAATTATGACCAACTGGCAAGTAAGTAGGCACGTCAGGTCTGTGAATCAAGGACGAAAAGGAATGAGACTCTATCACCACAATTCTGTTTCCCAGTCCTCCCAGCTAACAAGCACATAAGCACAATTGGCAACAGTGTGGTACAACAGGAGTAAAGAAGAAACACAGAAAAAAGGGGGATGGAGGAAGACATGCAAAGAAAACAGGAAAGACTGGAAATACAAAAAAGAATAATTAAATGGAGAAACAGAGCATTCAAGAAAAGGCAGGATTGTATGAAAGAAAGCAGGGAATGAGCACAGAAGTGAAAGCAGAAGGCTGAGAAATAGAAGTCATGACTGAATCAGCAGTTTACAGCCCTAAATTTCAGCTTCAACTGACTGGCTGCAAACTTTCTGTTCCCAATCCCAGTGGGGTTGCAGGGTCAACTAGAGAGCATGACTGCTCACTCACTAACGCAGGTACAGTCATGCACTCAGAAAGAGAGGAAGATACACATAGATCACTGCACTTTCAATCGCTTACATCACACTATAACTACTGCTCAGATCTACACCCACTTCCCATCAGCTGTCTCAAAGCATCCTGGAATTGACACTGCTGATTTAAGCCACTGATCCCAGAGACAGCTCATGGAACCAGATGACAATCTGGAAGGAAAAGAGAATAAAATTTTCCTACTAAAGCAAAGAAGGGTTGGGCTGGGGTGGGGCGGGGCGTACTATATTAAAATAAAATGTTGAGGGAAGCAGGCTGTAGACCATTCAGAAGAGTGATCACTTGGCGGACAAGATTTATCAGCACTAATTAGGAGGTTAGCTATTCTGTTTAAGACAGCACTGCCTTCTTAAACCATAAACTGGTCAAGGACTAAGTGACAAAGAATATAATAAAGAATATGCAACACTGTACAAGACTGCAGGGGAAAAAAAGGAACCTGGATCCTTCCTGATCTTTCTCCCACTATTACTAGAGGAAAGGAGTGGAAAAAATAACACTGGACAGGGTGGAAGGCATGAAGAATCATATATTTCTAGCTCCAACTGTGGGAAATCAAGCATCTTTTCCATAACTGTCCCAGAGGGGTGGTTTTACGTTTAATCCTAATCCCAAAGGAAAACCTTATCTTGAAATCAAAACTAAACACCTAACTCCAGGAAGTCCCTAATCCAGCCACATCCCTCAGGTTTGTACTTGTTTTCTCCCACGCCTGAAACAGGAAAACTTACCACCGCTGAGCTGATATGAGCCACACGCCTAGAAGACTAAGCGGACGAAATGAGTGCTAGAACCTCTACCTGAAAACTGAGTAAAGGAGCTGGTAATTTAGGCCAGGACCTTAAGGGAGTTTCCATACTGTGCTCTCTGGTCGTGTTCGCACACCGCTAAAGCAAATAAAGGCAAAGTCACTTTCCTTAAAGCACCTGGCATCTGTCCTCCACCTCGCCTGTGCCAGCAAGCTGTGGCCCCCTGTCCCACCCTGACTCTAGTTCCGAAGACGGCAACTTGCCCACCTGCTGGCTCACACTAGCCCCACCCTCCCCCACTTCTGCTCACTCCTGCGCGTCCCTCCTCCCTCCGTCTCCCACCTTCACGAAATGCAACACCCCGGACACCACCCAGCGCCATCCCACAGCCCAACCCCACCGCCTCAGCATCCTGAGCGCCATCCCCTCCAGGACTAGTCCCAGGGTCCGATCTTTTCCACGCCCTCCTAGCCTAAGCGCCCGCCCAATCCTAGGCCCCCGCCATCCTTCCATTCCAGATCGTCCCCCACACGCCCCACGCCCCCTTCTCTGCAAGGCCTCAGACTCTGCCCGCGCCCGCGCCCACGCCCACGCCTGACGCCGTTAAAGCCCCACCAGCGCCTTGGACTGCACTTGCCCCTAACCCTCAAGTTACATCCTAGGGTCTTCTCACCTGACCCGAGTTCCTAAGGAATCCGCTCGCCTCCCCCTGCCATCCGTTCAGCGGCGCACCCAACCCTCGCAGCGTCGGGTCCGCCTCCCGGACCTCTCCCCATTGGTTGACTCAGGGCCAATACGACACTTGAAGAGACCGATAGGATGATGGAACTGTCTGTCAGACTCGGAGGCGTGGACGAAGCCGCGCTCCCACTTTTTAACTGGATAATACAGGTATCATTTAGTAGCCGGAAGGCGGGACTTCGTGCAACCGCCGAGCCATGATAGGCCGGCTCATGAGAGCGAGAGCGCGGAAAGAACACACTCGGAGCAGTTTGGTTGAGGGCCGAGCAGTGACGTGTCGGTCTGCGGGCCGCGAAGGAGTCGCGAGCGGAAGGTGTGGCGCGTTTAGCACAGTCACGTGACAAGAAGCGGAAACTACGCGAAGGAATGGGCAGAAACTACAAACCCCGAAAAGCGGGGCTGAGGTCGCTCGCCTCCGTTTCTGAGAGTTTCGTTTCTTTATAGGTAGAAATTGATGTTGCCTAATATAAGGTTAAAGGAGAGGTGGGAAGAATTTTCTACCTATTCTCAATGAAACCTCAATCGTTTCCCGGTCCAGACCTCTACATCTTGGGCAAGATCTTTGTCTGACAGTTCGCTCAAGAGCTGTTTGACTTTGCTCCGGTAAACTGCGATGGACAAGAGCCCTGCAAATGTCACGAGGCATTTATTTCCCTTTCTTAAGCCCCTGACCTCGTGAATGAGCATGCCTAGGGCTAAAGGGGTCGTCGGGGTTCGGTGGAAAGAATCTACGCCGCGGGCTGAGTCCCCCACGGTCGCAGAGGCGGTCCTCCCAAAGCGTAGACAAGCTTCTTCCTGGAACCAGCTTGCAGCCTGGCGGTGCTTTGCGCACCCCTTTGTAAGTAACCTGCCAGTGAAAGCTGCCTTGCCTCTCTTCCCCTTCTCTCCTCACACACAAAGAAACGTTGCTTGAAGGCACGGAAAGGGGCGAAGTTTCAGCAGCCAATTCCATCACCTCTCGGACACGCACTCCCACTCCCTACACATCTCAGTGAGCACGAGCCACACCGACAAAAATGGGAGCATCCGGCAACTGTTCAAATGTAGTGCCTGCGGCACTCCTTTCTCTTGGCGGTTACTCTACTGTTGAATGCAACCGACCAAACTTACTGAAAGCATATTAAATCAGTACTTCAAAATCACGTGTAGTTTTCAAAATTTACACGACCAGGTTCACCCCAGGATGAGTCAATAGATCTGCTTTTTCGTTTTGTATTTATAATGTGTTCAGTGTAATTTTATTAACAGAAGGAAAATGAAGCTGAACCTGAAGGAACTGCAGAACTTCAAGCAAATGCTTCTTCAAAACGAGTTTTTCTTTAAAAAAAAAAAAAAGGAATTAAAATTAGAAAGATTCCTTTACATAAAAAAAAACTGCTTCAAGAACATTTAAGATATCGAGGTTCTTTTTTTTTTTAATTACTAAACCTGTTTCTTAAAGGGATATGTTTGACTTCCCAGGTGGTACAATTGTCAGCTTTTTCAGAAGTCAAAATATACTACTAAAGAATACAGTTCAAAATCTAAGCCAAGCATCAACTGTACTCCAATAACAACTTCTAAAAAATCTAATGCTATTTTTAGGATGATTCTTTAATATCAGTTGATAGGGAAAGGCTTATAAGTAAAAGTCTGGATGGCAAAATCATGGGGAAAATTATAGTTATTATAAACCCAGAGATTATACACGAACATTCAGGGTATCAGTTAATCTCTCTCCCTCCTGACTTATTGGACCAGTTTTGATTTGGTTCCAAAAAACTTTTTACAGTCCTATCAGTTGCTTAAAATAATGCTATTTTTAGCTTGCTTTATAGGAACTGTCATTCATGTGGAGCTTTTGGTCTTTCTTGAAGTGTCTACTTACCTCTTTTATATTACTGATCGAAAGAAACATGTCTTCATCTCACCTGGAGCAGACCAGAGTAACAGTACGTTTTCTTCTTGAAGATGTTCTCCCCAGAACCCACCTTTCCAAGTATGCTGTATAGCTGTATTACCAAGATTTCTTCTCAATGCACTCTGATTCCACTGTTTCATGTTGTTTGGTTGGGTGTTTGTTTTAATTAGTCATCTATTTCTTGGAATTTTCACTTCGATAGATTCAAGTAACTTTTTCAGAAAAGCTGAATGGAAAGCAAACAATGCCTTTATTTTGTCCTTGATAGCATAGCTAGGTTTAGAGTTCTAAGAACGAAATTGGGACCCACCCATCCCATATACAGACAAGCACACATAAAAGCATACTTTCAAGGCACTACAATTTTATCTTCTATTACTCAGAGTTGTTCTTGAGAAGTCTAATAGCAATGTGAGTCAGTCTCTTGGAGGTAACCTATTTTCCTGGTGTTTCTCCATAGAGATCCCATCTGGTTTTTTGGTTTTTTTCTTCCTTTCATTGCTTTTCACTTGGCAGTGAAAAGCATCTATATGAAAAATCCAATTTTCATCGTTTAAGTCCCGAAACTTTCCTGATTTTATTGTCTCCATGCTTCTGTTCTCATTTTCTGAAACAAATGTCAGATCTGATTCTTCGATACCTCCACGAGTCTTAACTTTTTCCATGTCTTAATCTTTTTGCTCTTTGTTCTGAGAAATTTCCTCAATTTTACGTTGTAGTTCTCTCATTTAGCATCCTCGGCATCACTTCTATAAGCCATCTCATTTTATTTCCACAACTGTTTTAACTTCCAAGAACCTTCCTATTCTGTTCCCTTCTCACAATCTGTTCTTACTTCATGGATGCAATAGTTTACCAAGTTTCTATGAAAGTAGTTATTAGAATTTGTTAACTTTTATTTCTAGAATTACTTAAATTTCCTCCAGGTCCAGGTGGGGTTACTGTGTATCTTAGAAAAGCTCCTGAAATGATGCTGCTGTTAACCCATGGTTAAGAAATACTTATCTAAATGATCAAATGGTTACTCTTTGTCCCACAGGTCTGAAGGTACAACATTTAAACTTGAAATCAGAGAATGAGTCCAAGGATGGAAGCCTGAACACATGGCATAATCTCTTATCCTACTCAGATTCTCTGAATTCCAATGTTTTATCCAACTTCGAGACCTATGGAAAATAAGTTATTTGAACACGTTAATTCTTAAGAATTTGATCATTTCTCAGTCTCCTACACCGTATTGTTAGGTCCAAGAGGACAGCAGTCATCTTTTTGGTTCACCCTTGAATCCTCAGTGCCTTGCAGAGCCTGACAGAGAAAGCGCTCAAATGACTGTTATGTACTTAAGTCATCTGTTCCCCTCACTTGATCCTTTACTGGTTCTATGGACTCGCTTTAGGTTTATCCAAAATATTTCTCTGAATGTACAGCTCTTATTGTTAAAAAGACCGAACTTACACTGACCTGGAGTCAGCTTCCTTATAGCTTCTGTGGGTTGAACGATAGCACAGGAGGAATGTTAGGGTGGGGGCAAAGAAGGGGGGTGGTGAGATGACTGCTGAACAGCCTTCCATCACTACTGAAGAACCAGTAACATCTACCAGAGCAACCTCCACACAGGTAACCACGGAGTACAGAAGCTGAACAAATGTACTACTTCTATAATCAGAAAGTAAGTGGATGGAAAATGAACAGTGAACAACTATAGTTGCCCTTTTATTCCCACAGAAGTTATCCTTTAAGGTGGTTCACAAACCCCTAACCATTAGTTGCCCTCTTCTGGGTTTATTCCAGTTTGTCACAATTTCTCTTAAATTTTCTCTTGGCCCCTTACCAAGTGCAGAGCAATGAAAAAGTCAGTGCATGAATTTGTCCATTTAAAAGTTTCCAACAGACTTAACATACTCAGGTCTAGAAAGCATTTACTTTGTACAGTTACTATAATGGACAACTCAGCTCTAGATAGGATAAAAGGGTCGTGTTTTCAACACACATACCTGTCCGAGCTGTGATGTCTGCCCCTGAAGAGAGATTTGTGAACATGATTCCTTAGATCCTCCTGGCTGTATGATTGAAACTCAAGCTCTCACTTTCGTCTGTAGTGATGTGCCCTCCCTTGTTTTCAGTTACTATTAGTCTGCCTTAAACTGCCATTCTGAACTTGGCAAAAACAGAGCCTACTCTCCCTTTGATCCCCATTTCCTAATCGCTGCCCTCACTGCCCATATGCTAGTGAAAAGAGAAGTTTACACTGCTTTTGTGTACATCTCATGAAATTAGGAATACCTACAACAATAGACATTTGGTAATCTAGCCTTTGTACAGGCCTGGCCTCTCAGTTACACTAATAAAACTTTACAGATTCCTCACATCCAGTGACTTAAAGCATTTTCTACAGCCAGGCACAGTGCTGGATAATATCACTTGCCTTCCTCTACTCAACTTCCCTCACCCTTCTAAGACCAGCTTAGCTGACACAAATACAAATTTCAGGCAGCAAAGACGTGGCCATTTTAATCTCATTTTAAAATCTACAACAACTAATCTTAAGTAAGGCAGTCGCTGATCAGTTGCAAGCTGATGAAATACTGAGGTCTTCTTCAACCGCCCCCTCGGCAACCTGAAAGTAGTTCTCTGCAATACTACTGTCAAATGACCAGAGGGATACTGAAAATAAATCTTAAACTGTCTTTTACAATTTTTTGTTCACAAGCTGGAAACACCTACTTCCAAAATACCCACTATTTTAAAACCTCTATATTCAAATTTGGTTCACATCTGCTGGCAACGATTTTTAAATCCTTACTTTGTCCCGTACATAGTAAAGGTTTCTGTTAACCAAATGTCTAACCTCTTCCCTAATGAGAATGTTCAATTCTTGAAGTCTAGAAGGCCCTCTCTTCATTCATGAGTACACAGGACAGATGCACATATAGGCTTGAAAACAACTCAATCCCAAATTCTTTCACAAGATGTTAACATGATTATAATCACATAACCCAAACTTCTTCAGGGAACATTTTTCAGAACTAATCTTCCAAATTATCCAAGACAAAGTCCTGGGTTCCATGCATATGTTTCTTGAAGTGACGACTTGGAAATTTCAA